TAGGGAAACTATATGATATTTATATAGTTTATATATTGAGCAAAATCCCAATCTTTCACAAAACCAACCCTGTTGACTTCAAACTACATAGATTTGTGCTTCCCCAACATGAATGATTATATCTGATATTTATAGGCTAAAAACCCCTCCTATTCCTGTTTCAAGTGACAAAACATGTTTCTTAGGAGGAGCAGGGACCTTGAAGTTTGTGTGTTCTTCACATGTACCATGATATTAGACATTGACACTTTACCATTTTGGTGTACAGAAATTTAAGTCACAAATAGGGGATTCACTGGCCAATATACTTTAGAATAATACTCTTTTGATAACAAAACTAATATCTTATTCAACTTGTTGACAGAAAATTACTGATTGAAAAGATGGATGGATAATGAATTCTCAGATACCACAGTCAGTATTTGGCCAGATATAAAGATTTTTTAATCCCTTAGAATTATTAGGATGTTTAAAGCAATGGTTTGCTATCACATTTCCACTGTTTATAATAGCATTGCCGTGAGGGTACTGCTCAGTAAGTATCTTCTAAATGAAGGTTAAATCTGTCATTAGTTGAGAGGCATTAGTTTCCAGCCGGTAAGAAGAGAAACATCTGGCTTACCCAGAAAGCACTCCGAGGACTAGATTCAAAACAAAGAAGGATCCAATGATGATCAGGGGGATGAAGTACAGCCAGTTCCAGGTGGCTCCTAAGGCATCATTGGTCTGAAAGAAAGAAAAATGGTTCCTTAGTACTTAAAGCCATATATTCCATCCCACATACGATGATGTAACAGACACAGTGAAATACAGTTACACATGATGGCACTCCACCCCTATTTGGTTTTACTGCCGGTTAACTCATATTTTCTATGAACATAGACAAGACATTTCATCAGCTTCTCCATAATATCCCAAGTGGGAATAATCTAACACCCTCACTTAATGGATGAGAAAACTAAAACCAGAAAGGTCAAATACTTTTCCAAGCCCAAGCAACACTGTTTGATTTTATCATAGTGCTTGCTACTTAGAAAACAATTAGAGTTATCCATACATTTCTCAGCCCTTGACCTGAGGTCTGAGTTTCCTTCTTCCCTTCTTCTTTCACTATAAAACCGGGCCTAGGCCTTGCCAGCAAGGCTCTGGATAGAACAAAGAATAAATCTATACTTGAAGAATGATCACTTGCGATTTCTCTCTCTGTCTCTCTGTCTCTCTGTCTCTGTCTCTGTCTCTCTCTCTCTCTCTCTCTCTCTCTCTCTCTCTCTCTCTC